TCTTCACTGTCTTTCTTTGGCTGTGCAGAAGCTTTTTAATTTGATGCAATCCCATCCATCAGTCCTTGCTGTTGTTCCTTGAGCTACGGGAGCATTATTCAGAAAGTCATTGCCTATACCTGTGTCTTGACGTTTTCCCTTCATGGTTTCCACTAGCAGTTTCATAATTCTCTTCTTCAACCTACTTGATACCTCTAAATCTCTTATGTAAAATTCTGGAGTCGCCACTGAAGTCAAAGTAGTGGAGTGGGGTTTTTTTTTGTTTTGTTTTTGTTTGTTTTTTTAAGGGAAATGCTGACAGGACTTTGCACAGCAGAACCTCTAGGGGGCGATGTCATCCAACAGAATCTTAGCACTGCCCTCATCCAATCTACCCTGTTCGCATTTTTCACCATCCAACTCCCTGTGCACCTCTTCAAAGTTTTTTCTGGGCTTTTGTATTTTGGACCATGTCAAGGCATCACTGGTCCTAACTACCAACATACACTAAATGCTTAGCTACTTAGGGCCCTTTAATTAGCTCATCTCACAGATCAAATAGTATCCAGCTGAACTAATCCCACATTTTTATATGAGAAGTGCATCTCAGTTTTATGAAACACCTATGGGTTCTGGACGCCTTTCTGATTTAAAGCTATTCCCTGAGTTGATATCAGCGCTTGGGTTACCTCACAGGTTTTCTTGTGACTCCCTTTTCCCACCATGCTTCTAAAAGGTACATTCCATGATTTAGAGTTGTTCGGAACACAACTGACATCAGTGTTCTGAAGCAGCCAGCCCCTCATGGTTCCACTCTAAGAGTTTTGTATAGCAATATAATCAGGTTTTTTTTTTTTCCTGCTTGTGTGACAAATACTTGGGAAACACAACCTAAAAGGAGAAATTAGTCATTTTGTTTAACAGTTTCTGAAGTTTCTGTCTGTAGTTCTTGACTGTTGATTCTGGGCCTGTGACAAGGTAGAACATGGCTTGTAGTGGAACCATATAGTCAAGTCCACTCAAGTCATGGCAGACAGGAAGGAGAGAGGATGGGATGCCCTTAATAACTCACTTCCTCTAGTTAGGTCTCATCTCCCAAAATTCCATCATCTCCCAGGATAGTGCCGTCATCCAGGGACCCAGTATTCGGTACACGAATCTGTGGGGGACACACCATAGTCAAACCACAGCACATTTTATATATATAGTGAGACAGATAAATGTGTGGATGGATCCATGGACAAACTCAATACTGTAATTTGTTTGGGATATTAAGAGTCTGACTTGGAAAGTAAGCAGTTAAAGGAACAAATGATTTTAGGAAATCAACGTATTAATAAACATAACTACAACTAGTGTTTACGCAGCAAAATTCACCATTTTAAAATGTAACTCAATGATTTTTTTTTTCATTTTTTTGAGACAGGGTTTCTCTGTGTAACAGCCCTGACTATTCTGGAACTCGTTTTGTAGATCAGGCTGGCCTCAAACTCACAGAGATCCACCTGCCTCTGCCTCCCCAGTGTTGGGATTAAAGGCGTGCGCCACCACCGCTCAGCATAACTCAATGATTTTTAATAGTCACATTCATAAAGGCTGCGTCACTCTAATTATATCATGTTTTATCACACCAAAGAAATTCCTGTTCCTGCTAGCAATCGTTCCCATTCGCTCCTCCCAGCCTCTGGCAACCACGGATCCACTTTTTATTTCTATAGATTTGCCTGTTCTGGGCATTCCATATAAACGGAGTCCTACAGCATGTGGACTTTTGTGGATGAATTCATTCACCTGTGATCCCACAGCATTTTGAACATATCTCACTGAGCACTTACTTTGTTTGGTTTTGCTGGGGATGGAGCCCAGCGTCTCCTGTATACTAGGCAAGCACTCTACCAATGAGCTACACCCCCTGCCCAATACTTAGTTTGGTAGGCTGGAGTAATTCATTCTTCTTACAGCCTCCCAAAGGAATATTAGGCATCATAAGGTCAAATATTTTGCCTTGTTCATTTAGAAATTTCAAATTGAGAGTCTGTCACGTGGTGGCCACTCAAAAGATATTTTCTGGACAAATGACGTTTTTCTACTTCTAGGTCATCTAGCTGACTCTGTGCACACCCACATGCATGACAAAATGAAAACCTTTTACTAGATTACTGGGGAAAAGGAAGATCCTTGTTGCATGATGGTTTACTCAGGGAAATGTTTGTTTTTCCTCCTTGAAAAGCAGAGCTGAGCAGAAGTACAAATGCTTTATGTCACTTGTATAGTTACATTTCAAACACAGTTATTAACCAGAATGCACACTTAGAAGTCATTGAGGATTTTTGTGAATGGGCTCACATAGATACATAATTGACACATATTTGGGGAGTCTATGTATATCCTGTTTTCCTAGGATACAATACATTGGACTGAAGCTCATTTATTCTTTCCCCCAAAGTTTTTATTTGCATATATCATACACAGTGATGACTTTCATTTTGACATCTTCATATTTTGAGTATATTCACCCCCATCACCTTCCACTTCTCCTTCCTCCAGCAGCCATGAACTGCCTATGGGCTTTCTGGGAGGGGTAGGGCCTATGGACCCTTCCCCTCTAAGGACAGGATGTTATTGGGCTTTCTTGGACAGGTCTTGTGCTTCTAAGTTATGGGCATTCATATCTGAGCATATCCATATCTAGTGCATCCTTTATTTAGCTCGGATGTGCTACTGTTTATTTAGCTATTGGTGGGCATTCTGGGTAAGTTCTTGGAGATCTTTCTTTTTTGCTGTAGCTGCTCATTGAAACAAACTTTCCTCTCAGCGCTGTTTGGTGATATTCCACAAGTTAAGGTGTGTGCTGTGTTTTTATTTTCTTTATCTCAAGATATTTCCTAGTTTCCATTATGATTCCTTCCTTAGCTCAAAAGATGTCCAAGTGTGTGTTGTGACATTCCCTTGTCCTTACCACTTTTTCTTTGTCGTCGTCGTCGTCGTCGTCGTCGTCTTCGTCATGGTCATACCTAAAAGATATTCAGAATGATTTTAATCTCCCTCAATTTAAGATTTACTCTGTTACCTAGCATGGAATCTATTTTGGAGACTCCTCTGTGCAAACAGAAGAATATGTGCTCTGCTGTGGTTGAGTAGAATGTTGTGTATGGACCTGTTGGGTCCATACGATCTGCTGTTGTTCAAGTCTCCTGCTTCCTTGTTGACTTCATATGTGGATGATCTGTCCACTTTCGAAAGTGGGGTCCTGAAATCTTCTGACACTCTTGTATTGCTATTCATTTCTCTCTTCTGACTATCACTATTTGATTTATATGTTTAACTACTCTGATATTAAGAATATTCCTAATATATTAACTTTTGCAAGTATGCATTGCTTCTTCATTGAAATGCTTTTTAGAAGTTTATTTTAGATGAACTTAAATTTTTGTCGTAGTGAATGACTGTGCACCTGTCCTTATAACTTGTATGACTCTCTTTGAAGGACAGAACTCCAGAAATATGGCCAGCAAGATGGCTCAGTTGCTTGCCACTGAAACTAGGAACCTGAGTTTGATCCCCAGAATCCATATGGGGGAAGGAGAGAACTATCTCTTAGAAGCATAATTACCTGGGCCAGTGGGATTGTATCCCAAGCATTTAATTCCAAATTGGTTTTACTACAGCCTCTTGAGTAAAGGGACATAGATTTTACTTATTTTCATATCTCCCATTGATGAAAATTATGTTGGAAACAGTCTAACTGCTAAAAACAAAAACATTTTATTTAATGATTGGACGAACAAGTGAGTAAACAAAATAATGGTACAGTTTGATTCCTACAAAGTGGTCACACATTTTAAACTCCATAGTCAGTTGCTTTTCTTCCCCCAAAGTTGTGGACAGACCTGGCACTTTCATGGGTTAGACATGGACACGAAGATCTTCCCTTATCCCAAAGGTAGCTGCTTCTCCTGAGTAGAGGTCTACATGTTCCAACCAATTGTTAATTCATTCAGAAGCTCACATCTCTTCACAAGGCTGCCACCTGCAAGCCACTGCTCAGGACGATTTCTGACATCGTTTTGTGTTCACTATTCAGTTGGTAAAATAGAAAGCAGAGAGAATCCCGTGTGTAACGTGTGGGAATTTGCAGGTATTGTAACGTGAGGAATGTGGTTTCGTATCTGGGCTGTCTTCAATACCTTATGTCCTGACAGCATAAGCTCATTTCAATGTCACCTCCCGCTTGTCACCTCCCACCACTTAATCCATCCCCACTATCACTACACAAGGGATTTTCTCAATCTTTATCAAACATGATCCCCTTTTCACAAAACCTAAGCCTCCTCAGACTGTCATTTGAGGATTTAGTGATGTTGGTTCAGCTTTTCTAAATCTGCCAACACTGGCCTTCCTAGCTACTCAGTTCAGAAAAGGCACCCTAACTGTGCCATGTGTTTTTGTCTCAGATTTTTTTTTTCATTTTGTTTTTGTTTCATTCTGCTTTCTAAACAGAACCTCACTACGTAGCACAGGTTGGCCCAAACTAGTATAGTCTTCTTGCTCCGGTTCCCGAGTGCTAGGATCACAGGTGTGTGCCACCATGCTTCCTGTTGGTGGTGATGGTGCTGGAGACTGAGCCTGCGACCTCACACACGCTCTGCAAGCCAAGCTGTTCTAACAGAAAACTTCAAGCCTTCACCTGAGGCCCATGAGGCCTCTCTTTTTCGAAATGAACTGCACGGGACAACACTAACTATCTCTCCATCCTCCACGTGCCAACCTCTTAGCATCGCTAGCTGCCGCTTTTCACGGCTTTCATCCGTTACGTCACTTTGCCTAGATTTGCATTCTCTCTTTCGTGGTACAGCTTAAGTTCTAGAAGGCAGAGACAAGTCCTGCATTTGTCCATACTCGGGAAGCCCCCAGGAAGTACTTGCTTGAGTAGATTTACCATCGGTGTCTCTGGCACCTTTAAGATGAGGTCAAGTCGGTACTCTGCAGACTGTAATGTGGTTTTCTTCCCTTTCTTGTAGCCATACTTCCCATAGCTTCCAGCTGTTGCACTGAAGTTTCCCATCATATTTCCAGGAGGCTTCTGGAAAGAGTGAATTCATGCAGCATCCAGAGAGCTGACGGGGACTGTGATTTGGCTGCAGTCATGTGAGTGCCCTGCAGCAAGGACTTGTAAAACTGAAGGCTGGTTATCCCCTTGGCTAACAAACACTAGCTCGAAGTGCTTTACCTGACACACAACCAACACACCATTCAAACAAAAGAGTAACTCTCCTGTCCCTTGAGTGCCAGGCCACCTGGAATAAACACACAATCTCTTTGTACAGGAGTGACCCAAGTCCTGCGCACACCCTTCAGCCTTTCGATAATGCTGTGCTGCCGTTAAATGTCCTCAGTCAGCAGAAAACATTAGTGACTTTACCAAACAAAACAAAGGAGATTCTGAATGAAAAAAAAAAATAGCGGTCAGCAATGACAATATCATATGCCATGGCTTTAAACTGCGACTTTCCCCAGGCAGGAGATGGTTGCAGACATTCTCTCTGAATTCAACACGAATTTATGATCTGAAAAGCAGACTGGCCATCTGCACTGCTCACAGTACTGCATGCAATCCACTTGCAAATGCTTTCGTCTGCTTTTGATCCTGGAGTGTTGGTTCCTGGTGGACCTCCAGGCCTTCCGCTGCACCTCAGGGTCAGTCCTGAAGGCCAACAGCAACAACTGGAGAGGAAGGCATAGTTTATTTCCCTGTCATGCAGAAGAAGCCAGTGGACGGGATTACGTCGTTCACCTGCTGTAGTGTTGCTAGCAAATGGCAGAAATGGGATTCTCACACAGCTCTCTTGCTTGAGAAGAGAACACTACTTCTCTTCCAACGGCATTCAAAAGGAAGAGAGGGACTCACCATAACTTGCTCTTCCAAGGTCAGGTACGGAGGCATATGCCTGTAATCCTAGCATTCCGGAGGGTGAGGCAGATGGATCATTAGTTCAAGGTCAGCCTGGGTCACAGAGTGATAGCTTATCTCAACAAAGAAAGAAAATTTCCTCTTAAATTCTAGTATCACAAGGGAGTTATCTCCCTGGCATGATGATTTGACACTACGCATGCATCTGGGTGATGCTAATGAGCCATTTGGCGTTCTTTCCTTGGACTATCAAATAACACCATTGCCTATGTCCAAGCTCCTGAGAACCCTTGTTCTATTAACAAATGTGACACGTGTCTATTAGTCAGTGATTGTGTACCAAGAACTGTTCCATGAAGTGAGGATACAAGAGAGATCCAGTGTTCTCTGCCCTTGTGGAGTCTTCAGGAAACTTTTTACCCAACTGGGTCCTATGGGGCATCCTATGATTTTCTTTAATCTGGTAGTGTGAATTGCTTCTAGGATCACACACACACACACACACACACACACACACACCTTTTCCAAGAGAAAGGGCACAATCTTATCACTAGGAGAATGAGAAAATGAATGTTGAGGATTTCTCAGCATCTTTTCAGAGACACCCACTCACTATGGAAGCTGAGAAACCCTGATCCAAGACAAAAACTTCTAAAAATGGCAGAGAAAGGGTTCATAAACAATCCATGGACAGACAATCTTCAGAATTCTTCCTGTGAATTCCTTGACATTTTTACATGTAAACCCATAAGCATGTTCCTGGGGGGAAGTTCTGGTCCATTGGGTTTTATAACATTCTCAAAAGAGTCAGAGACTAATTCATTGAAAACTACACTTGAGGTCAGGTGCTGAGGAGCAAACAATTATTTGCCCAAGACTGAATAATCTTGGGTGACTCCAGAGGAAAACAGAGGGTGGAGAACTCGCAGCCTCAGTTTGCACTCCCCTGGCTCCATCAGCTTGGATGGTTTAAATCATTGGGAATCGGTGCAATCTGCGGTAGTCCAGGGCACATACTGTAAGGTGCCTCCTTCTAAGAGGCACTTCAGGTTCTTAACGTTTGGAAAATCTCTGACCTGTGGTTTGAGTATAACCTGTCTCCCACAGGCTTATTACTGAATGACTGCTCAGCAGCTGGTGACACTGTTCTGGGAGGTTCGATAAACTCTAGAAGGTGGGGCCTGCTGGGGATCGAGCCTTGTGGGGTGGGAGGAAGTGGGTCACTAGGGTCTGACTTTGTCCCCCGTCCCTTCCTTCCCATCACTGGTGGATGTCGTGCGTCCTGTCCATCACAATGTGAAGAACCCCTCCCAGCACATATTCCCACAGACATGGTGTTCTCATCAAGTGCTTGGAGCCCATCAGTCATGGACTGAACCCCCTGAAACCATGACTCTCCCCTAAATCTATCCTTAAATAGCCCTCTAAGACTAATAAAGTATACTCGATTGAAATTCTACCAGTATTTTATCGAATTTTAATAAATGTCATTGGTAATTGTTGGAGAGTCGAAAAGTCGTAGATAGTCGATAGCAACTTGGGTCATCTGGGTGTTTGCATCGCACCTACACTGCTGAACCAAGTTGGCCAAGCCTGGTTTAGATGCTCTGCTCTGAGAAACACCAACTGGGCTTCCCAAGTCCTTCCACATCACCGACATAGGCCTATCTGTCGTTCCAACCTAGAATTAGAAAAATAGAAAATGTTTCTGTGGGTATTTGAGAGACAGATTACAAGAGAACACCATCTGCAAGAGGATTTCGGTGTAGGTGGGGATTGACGGATGTCAGAGATCTTCAAGGCATAGGAACAAAACCAGTGGAAACCCTCTGTGTTTGCTGCTTTGCCTTCTCTGACCAAAATGCCTGACAGAAACAATGTGATTGAGGAAAGATTTATTTGGCTGATGGCTTTCAAGTGCTGGAGTCCACGGTGATAGTCAAGACATGGTGGAGTTCATGGTGGGAGGCTGCATGTGGCAAAGACTCGTCACGTCATGGGGGGCCCGAAAGCACAGTGAGGCCAGAATCAGGAGCTGGGCTGTGACTCTCAGAGGCCAGTTCCTAGTGAACGGCTTCTACAAGCAAGGTCCCAGCTCCAAAGGTCCCATAGCTTTCTGAAACAGGAGAAAAGTCAGGGAGCAGGCATTTGAAGCATTAGCCTGTGAGGAACATTTCAGATTCAAACCATGACATCCTCACTTTGAGGAGGAAAAATGTGATTGAAGAATTAACCTTTAGGTTTTAAAAGTACTAGATTGGTTTTTTTTCTTCTTCTTTTTTTTTTATGTATGAGTGCTCTGTCTACATATACACATGCCCTCCATCAGATCTCATTACAGATGGTTCTGAGCCACCGTGTTGTTGTTGGGAATTGAACTCAGGACCTCTGGAAGAGCAGACAGTGCTCTTAACTGCTGAGCCATCTCTCCAGCCCTCAAAGTACTAATTTGTAATTAAAGGGAAATTATGAAACCAATCTTTGTTTTTAAACATTTAATTTATAAAAGTATCAATTTATAAATTGAACTCTGTGCTGATAAGCAAGTTGAAAAATACAGGGCAGTTGTGATTTGGTTTCAAAATTAGACTTTTGTATCTTTAAGTGATGTTATAGATCCTCTCTGTTATGTTTTCTAATACTCAACCTAAGAAGTCTTATTTTCAAATGATTTTACTACAGAAGCATGCCTGTCTTTGTCCAAAATGTAGTCGGTTAACCATGACGGTATATAAAGGCTGTAAGATTTGAGACCAGTGTTTAAGATGCAGAAAGCATCGCTTGTATTACAAATGTAACTAACTCCCAAGCATCGTATACTATAAACTACAATTGATTAATTACAGAATAGAAATTAAATATCAGTGAACTCACGAGACTCTTCCCCTCCATTTTCTGCCTGGAAACAAGTCCTTTGTTTCTGATCTATAAATGATCAGTGTGCTTTCTCCAGGCTGAGATAACAGTTGGCTTGTTGACACTCTTCCAGCGGAACTTAAGGAGCTTCCAGAAACAAACTGAAAAGCTGTTCTCCTTGGCGGAGGCGGAGGCTTCTTGCACTTCACAGAGATTGTCTCTTGGAGAGAAAAATCAGCTTGTTATTGTTGTCCACCCCCTACCCCCCACCCCCCTCATTCAGGAGGTTAGAATTTCTCAGAAGCAGTTTTGAAGGGCTGCTCTGAGGAAGGGGGTCAGAAATAAACTTTAGTGAACAATCCCAGGTATAGTCTTCACGGGAGGACCACAGCTCACACTCATTGAAGTACTTTTTTTTTTTTTTTTTTTTTGAGGCAGGTTCTCTCTATGTAGTCCTGGCTATCCCTCTGTAGATCAGACGGGCCTTGAACTCACAGAGTGCTGGGATTGAAGGTGTGCTCCACCATGCCACTGTCCTTTAGGCTATTTGTTCTTACCCTCCTGGGTGAGGAATCAGGAGGTCTCCCTGGTTTCTGATCTAGAAATTCAGAATGGGGTGAGCCAATGCCTGTTAGGGATATGAAACTG